CTTTTGTCACGCATTTTCTCCTTGTTCTTGAGCTTTCGACATTCTCGCTTCATGTGCCCTTTCTCATGGCAATAATGGCACTCAATGTCTTTCTTTGAAAAAAAATCATCTTTTGATTCACGGCTTTGATCACGACCACGAGAAGTCTTACTCCTCCCCCTTGTTTTGCTTCGGCCTCTCACAACGAATGCTTTCGAATGAGAGGAATCCGTTGATTTTCTTCTAGTATCTTCATTCAACAGGCTACTAGTGACTTGGTCCATTGTGACAACTCCATCGGGCGCCAAATTACTAACTGTCACAACCAAAGTTTCCCAACTTTCGGGCAAAGAACTAAGTAGCATCAAAGCCTGCAACTCATCGTCAAAAATAATTTTCATAGAAGTAAGTTGGTTAACAATACTCTTTATTTCATTCAGATGTTCTGGAATGGAACTACCATCTTTATATTTTAAATTAACCAACTTACGAAACAGAAAAGCTTTATTTGTGGCTGATTTTCTATCATAAAGGCCTTCTAATTTTTTCCATAAATCATGTGCTGAAGTTTCAGTAGCAACATGACGAAACACACTGTCATCAATCCATTGACGGATAACACCAACGGCTTTTCGATTAAGCCTCTTCCACTCATCATCTTTCATACCTTCGGGTTTGCCACTATCACCCTCAATGGGTCCATAAAAATCTTTACAAAATAATAGGTCCTCCATTTTAGTTTTCCAAGTTACTCAATTGCTTCCATTGAAGCTAGACATACGACTCACATTCCCCTCCATTGATTTACACAAATAATTAGACCCAAATAAACCGTAAGCTCTGATACCAGTTGTTAGGGAAAATATATGATCCCCCACAAGTAAATCAATCAATGAGAATAAAAACTAATGCGGAAAAATTAAATCAAAAGCAACACAAGAATTTTTACGTGGTTCCCTCAATGTGAGGTACGTCCATGGGATCGAAATCCGATTCCACTATCAACCAATTAAGTTTCCAAACAATTATAAACGAGACACGAATGGTTATACAAAACTCCCTTAGGTGAATTCCAAATAATCACAAATAAACAAGAGGAAAGAACTCACCAAATAGATGAACCAAAATCTTCAGAACAAAGTTGTAGAAGACCCAAAATAATAAACCAAGTCAGCTTTACCAAAACCATCCGAAGATGCACTAAAATAAAGAACCCTTCGAAGCTAAACAAAGTAGCAGAAAAATCCTTCCAGATTTTGATCAAGCACTATTGAAACTCTTTGTGTAACCAAACAAAACACTACACCAATTGATCCAAAGCTGCTGCCCCAAGTCAACCACTAGCCGAATATAATGTTGTAGCCGCACTATATCACCTTTTTTCTTGGGAAAAACAATACCCATAATATATTGTGAATCTAGGGTTTTTTACCAAAACCTTAGTTGTTTCCAAACTGAATTAGGTCACCACAAAATTAGATATAATATATTAAAATATATTATACCTAAACCAAACCAAATTAAAATTTTTTTTCCAAAACCAATTGGGTCTCAAACTCCAATAAGGAGATATACCCAACAGACTCTGCGGTGAAAGAGAACCATGACAGCCTCTCATAGCCTTACTCTGCCAAGGAAACTAAGAAAGAGGGGACGAAAGAAAAACAACAACAATAACAAAATCAATCTTCGAGAAAGAGTTGCAAGAAATGCAAGAAAAGCTTTAACAACTGGGGATCGAGAAGGAACAAACAAAAGAGCTATTGAAGGCCGAGAGAAGACTTTGAAGGTTATGGAAGAGGAGCTTTTCTAAAAAAATACTCTCGATCATTTCTCTCACAATTTGCATGCATTCTTTTAAACTTGTTTGATTTGATTTTCAATTTTTTTACTTTTAAATGCACCTAAAAATATAAGTGAAAAATATATATTAAAAGCACTAATCAAAGACAAAAAAAAAAAAATGCAGACATTTTTTATTTAGGTATTTATTCACATAAATACATTTAGATTAAAGTAAAAAAAAAAAAATTGCCTAAAATATAAATTTTTTTACTAATGAGAAAAAAGGGGGGAAAAAACTATAAAACAGTTTTTTGAAAACAAAAACTACCATATTTGGAGGGAAATTCTGTTTCATCTCATTTGCTGCTCCAACTAACATCCTCTCTCTCTCTCTCTCTCTCTCTCTATAAATATATAATACATACTTTAAAATTCAAATACGAACAGAGCTAGAGAAGCAAGTTAATCAAGTCAGGTAGGCTCCACTCTCTTTCTCTCTCTCTCTCTCTCTCTCTCTCTCTCTATGCCTATAACAGATGGGTTTCACTGTTTCTTCGAATCTGAAACTATTGTAATCAATTTCGTGATGTTTTATCATAAATCCTTGATGGAGATATATGCACATTTTGATACATATGTTTCTTGGCACCTCTGTATTACCGAATTCAATTATTAAATAATTTTATTGGCATCTCTGTTCTGGATTTCTGATGTTTTCTTCAGAATTCTTGATTTCTTGTTCTTGAATGTTTCTTTATTTCCTTAATTTGAAAGTTCTTGATGGATGAATTTCAATTCATATATATATATATATATATATGTATACAATTCTCTACATATACATTGTTAGTATGAGATTGTCACTCAATAATTTATGGGTTTAGGAATTTAACAAGCTCTGTAAATTCATGACTGTACTTCTTGAAGTTTTCTGCAGAATTTTTGATTTCTTGTTCCTGAGTGTTTTCACTTTCCTTAATTATATATATATATATATATATATTTTTCAGTTCTTGATAGATGAATATCAATAGATATACAAATTTCTATATTTACACACATATGTTATTTAAGATGTTATGTTAGTCTGAGATTATCAATCAATAACTTATCTTCTTCTTTTGATAAGCATAATTTCTGGGTTTGGCTTATGTTTTCTGAATATCATGTTCCTATCTCCCATTCTCGGAAGGCGAAGCTTTGTGCATCCTGGGATCAATCTATTCTTGCATATGAGCGACTTGTTTGCAAATTTTTTTTGTCTTGTTGATTTTTTCATGTGTAATTAAAGTTTGATTGAGTTAACATTTTTAATGATCTTTTTCACTAGTACAAAATAAGCATAATAATATTAAAATTCTGTTCTAATTGAAAATTTCTAGTTCACAGCATCTTTTGGATTATCCTTCGGTGGCTTTGATCCAACCAAATGGAAAAGGTATAGGATCTGTGTAACTGTGTTATGCTTATGCTGTTCAATATTATCATCATCGATTTATCTTGTGTTTGTCAATAAATCTAGCGGGTCAATGTGCATCCTGGGATCAATCTATTCTTGCATATGAGCGACTTGTTTGCAAATTTTTTTGTCTTGTTGATTTTTTCATGTGTAATTAAAGTTTGATTGAGTTAACATTTTTAATGATCTTTTTCACTTGTACAAAATAAGCATAATAATCTTAAAATTCTGTTCTAATTGAAAATTTCTAGTTCACAGCATCTTTTGGATTATCAACCGGTGGCTTTGATCCAACCAAATGGAAAAGGTATAGGATGTGCGTAACTGTGTTATGCTTGTGTAGTTCAATATCATCATCATCAATTTATCTTGTGTTTGTCAATATATCTAGCCGGTGAATTGGCAGTATGAGATGGGTGAGGTTATTGGATGCGGTGCCTTTGGTGTTGTTCACAAAGGTCTTCTACTCGAGAGTAAACAGACCGTAGCTATAAAGAAGATGCATCCTTTGGACTTGCACAACGGTGCCCCAAGTACAATAATGGAAGAAATCTCTCTGCTGAAAGAGATGGAACATGCCAACATTGTCAAGTATATCATCTCCTTGAAATTCTGATTACGAAAAATCGATTAAAAATCTCATAAATGTTTCTATGCTTGTGTGTGAGCACGTTAGCACATAGACACACATGTTTTTTGGATAATTAACACTACCTTTGTGATGATCGCGCGTGACAAACAATTAAGTACTTTAACCTGTGATATCACCAATTAGATAATGTTTTCATATCACATCTGACAAAAAAAAAACATCTTAATTTGCTTGTATTTTTGTTGAAACTTGAAAGAGGGGACTATTTGGCATCCTTTAATTCTGAAAAAATATAAGAGACTGAACACACCCTTTGATAACGTTTGTGTACCATGCCAAATGTTAGGTGTGTACCTAATCTTTTCCCTCCCAAACACTGTTTTATTATTATACTTAACAAGACCTCGGTTAACAGGTTGCTGGAAGCAATACCCAATACTGACAAAGGAAGCTACATGATTTTTGAATATCTGGACTATGATCTGGAGATATTCATGAAGACATTTCCCAAAAAATCTAAGAATAAACAAAGAATAAAGGTGGGTCGATAGATCTTTTCCATATTATGTTCTATGTACTGCTTGTTTGTACCCTCATGATTTGTTGGTTAACTTCTTCCTCTCTTTTTTTTTCTTTTTTTTTCTTTTCCCCTTTTTGCAGTGTTAAAACTCTTGTATTATTGATTGATGTAGATTACAAGATTGATTGTTTTGATGTATTGTATTACAAATCAGAGTGGCATTATATAGGAGAGGGTTTGGGTTAGTGAGTGGTGGTAGTGGATGGTAGTGGAGGTGGTGGGTGGTAGTGGAGATGGTAAGTGTGTTAGGTTTAGTGGGGTGGATGTAGTGGGTTAGGTTAGTGGGTTAGGTTTAGTGTACATTAACAGCCCCCCTCAAACTCAAGGAGGATAGGAACTAACCAACTTAAGTTTGAAGAGAGTAACAAAACAGAAAAAAATAAACTGACAAATAAAACAGGATAGGAGACACGGTATGGTCGTGTCACAATACATCAATCTTGTAATACCAACAAATCAATAATACATCATTTATAACATGGTATTTATATCAAAAATGAAGTTGATAGGATACCTGAGTTGAACTTTGTTAATTTTGTATTTTGATCTTTAAATGTCAATTGTTTTTTTCTGAATCTAATATGATGGGTAGTTTTCTTCATCAGGTAGTAAATTTACGTTACATGCCACCAGAAATTCTCCTTGGCTCCCACGAATACTCCACCCATGTCGATGTGTGGTCTGTAGGCTGTATATTTGCTGAGATGATTGATCATCAGCCTCTGTTTGATGATCTCTCCGACAATGATCATCTGCATAAAATTTTCAGGTGTGCTTGTGTGCACACGCATCATTTTTTTTATTTATTTATATTTTTCCACTACAAGCCTATTTATATTCAGTTTCTTTTTATTGCAGCATTATGGGGACCCCAGATGCAACAACATGGCCTGGAGTGACCTCACTACCAGATTACAGACCTGACTTTCCCAAGCAAGATCCTAAGGTAACATCGATTTTTGATTCATTATTTATTTATTTTGCAAATCATCAAGTTGTAAAATTTGTTTTTGCTTTCCCTTTCTTCGATGCAGAACCTGGCAGAATATGTTCCTAATCTTGAACCAGCTGGAGTTGATCTTCTTTCTGTAAGTTGTTTGTTGTAATGTGTTTTTGAGAATGTTGATCTGAATGAACATTTTCCTACATGTTACAGTTTTGTTTTTTATAGCAATGTGAAAATAGAGCCTAATGAATCTTCGTCTTTGGAAGTTTGGAGATTGCAATGACTAATTCTTTAGTTTAACTACCCTCTCTAGTTTACAATGTTCATTTGATTTTCTCTTTCCCTTTTTCATTTTCTCTTTCTTTCACTTATGCTCAACATAAAACATGTTGGGTATTTTTTGGCATTTGGTACAACAGATAAATAAGTAAACGAAAAGCAGGCTTATTTGCGTGGAAACTATTTAGTTTCAAGTTCACAACCAAACATAGGAAAAAGATTTATATAAAAAATATTTTATGAAAAATGGTTCTTCATAGGAAAATATTTTTTACCGAAACAAAGAGCATGATTACTTTCTTTACTCTCTCTCTCTTCCTTCCTTGACTTTCTTTCTAGGAAAATGTTTATGATGTTACTTTATTTCTTTCTACAAAATGGCCACTTTCATTCTTGGTAGGAAAATGTTTTCCGACAAAAAATCCTTCTTTCTTTCTTTCTTTCTTCTTCTTCTTCTTTTTTTTTCCCTCTCCCTCTCTCAGACCATCAAGTTTATGTTAAATTTGCCCATTTTCATCCAGGAAATGCTCTGCATGAATCCAGCTAGAAGAATTTCAGCTCTTGATGCGCTCGCGCATCCATACTTCAAGAATGATGATGGGGGTGGTGAAGAAGAAGAAGAAGAAGAAGATGATTACGTTGTTGATGATGATGATCCTTGATTCCATGTCCTCAACTTTTCTTTGCTGTTGTTGTTACGTTGACAGACTTATCTCTAGGAGATCTTTCTTTCATTCATTGTAAATTTTCTCCCAACTCGAAAGCTTTTGTTGCATCCAATTTGTGTTAGGAACCGGCTTTTATGCAATTAGATTGTAATTAGGTCTTATAAACTCAGATCTCAATCTAACTCAACTCAACAAATTTGTCTACATACCAATCCATTGTATTTGGTTTCGAAGAAACATTTTGTGGCCCTTAAAATGCTTGTTTGGCATCAATTATTTTTTTTTTTTTTTGGGAAACATGTAATCCTGTTTGATGACTTGTTCGGGATTTTTAGTAAATTTTTTTCCCTTCAAATTTTAGTTAAAAAGTGGATTCCATTAGGCCACTTTTCAACCAGTTTCCTAGAAAATGCTCTCGATTATTTATCTCACAATTTACATGTCTTCTTTAAACTATGGCACTTATTTGATTTGTTTCTCAAATTTTTTACTTTTAAATGCAACTAAGAAAACAAATTAATGAAAAAAAGATGAATGTTCAAGCACTTTTTATTTTAGATATTTATTCACATATACTTTACTTTTTAAATACATTTAGATTGAGTAAAAAAAATACCAAAAATATAATTTTTTTTTACTAATGAGAAAAAAGACAATTATCCCATCATTTTCAATCCCACCAAGGTCACCTTCTCAATTTTTTCCACACCATATCCCTGCCTTAACAAGAAACAAAAAGGAAACATAACACCGCCATGTGAATGTGATGATAATTTACGGTTACTATATATATTCTACAATATAAACATGTACATCACAACAATGCCGAAAGGACAGCAACAGATTATTATGACTGATGAGATAATGTGATAAAATAATGTGACAAAATAATCTGATCAAAATATTAAAAAAAGAGATTGTACTTTTAAATACATTTAGATTAAGTAATTTTTTTTATAGCAATGAAAACAGAGCCTAATGAATCTTCGTCTTTGGAAGTTGGAGATTGCAATGACTAATTCTTTAGTTTGGGTATTTTTTTTGACATTTGGTATAACAAAGAAAAACAAAAGTTAAACTTATTTAGATAAAAATTAGTTTATAGGTCACAACTGAATATAGGAAAATGTTCTCTATGATAGATATTTCATAAAAAAATGTTCTGCGTCGAAAAATATTTTCCACCAAAACAAAGAGGGTCATTACTTTGTTTACTCTCTTTCTTCCTTCCTCTACTTTCTTTCTAGGAAAATGTATATGTTATTTTATTTCTTTCTACAAAATGTTTATTTTCATACTTCAAGAATTTTTTTTTAAATGGGTTATTTTTTTTCTTCCTCTCACTCTCTTAAGGGGTGTGAGCTGTGCAGTTCGAGCGATTTACTTGTAAAATTATAAATCGAATGGCGGTTTAACGGATTAACAAATTACAATTTGAGCAATTTTTGACAAATTGAAGAATTGAAAAATATTCTAACTAATTACTATACATTTGCCTAATATATAATACTAATTGTATAATATTTTTTTTATATATAACACAAAGTAATTTTACATAATATGTTTCATATATATGACTACTAATTGTTAATAAATTTCATATCTTAAATATTTCTCACACACATTTTTACTTTGATATTTCACTGGAGGTTAAAAAATAGGGGGATTTGATGATAGCCCCCTCACAATCTAATTTGTCTTTCAAAAGGACAAAAATTATATAAGTACTTTCAAAATCCCCTAATATTTTAAAACTTGTTTCTTTTACTATATTGCCCTCATATCTAGCAGCTCTCCTATTAAGCCATCTTCACTGTGTATTTCAGAGTAAAATTTTGCTCTGTATAAAAGTAAAATTTTACTCTAAATAAGAGCAAAATGTTACACTCTGAAACTAAAAGTAAAATTTTACTCTGTATAAAAATAAAATTTTACTCTGAAAAACTAGTAAAATGTTAGACTCTACACAAAAGTAAAATTTTATTCTGTATAAAAGTAAAATTTTACTTTGAAAAACGAGTAAACTGTGAGACTCTGAAGGTAAAAGTAAAATGTTACTCTGCACAAAAGTAAAAAAGCGAAACCAGTGTTTGTGGCGGCTGAAGTGTTTGACAATGACCACCTCTTGACAGTAAAATTTTACCGTCATTCTAACACTAGAGTAAAATTTTACTCTAATTCTCTCAAACAAAAAACAAAGCAATAGAACAAGAGTAAAATTTTACTCTCATTATCTGAAACAAAAAACAGAGCAATAGAACCAGAGTAAAATTTTACTCTAGTTCTATCAAATGAAATTAGATCAAAAACAACAAAAATAAATCAAAAAAAAAAAAACAAACAAACAAAAACAAATTAATCAACAAATCAACATATCTAATTGAGAAGAAAAACTTCTAAGACTCGATCAACAATCACAAATCTCAATGAAAAGAATACATGTGTTCAACAACACTCATACACACAAATATATATATATATATATATATATTCAAAACTCAAATCTGTGTTTAAAAAAATATGTAAAACCAAACAACTCCACCAAACATGCCTCAATTTAGAGACGATCTGTTTCTCCTCGTAGACGATCTCCTTCGATTCTGGCACCGGAGGACAATTTTCCGGCCCATAGTTGATTTTGTTCCCGATGTTCTTGATGAGTTCATCGTAGAGATCGGTTTCGACATTGTTGATCACCGGTGTTTCGCCTGATAACTGACCGGACTTGGCTAGAAGAGTGATGACGATGACGTTGCTATCATCATCGAAGAATAAGAAGTTACCAAAATTGTCGAGAAACAGAGCTCCAGATCTGGAAGGAGGAGCACGTTGGCAGAGAACAAAGTCAGAAGGAAAAGAGGGAGGAGAGAGGCAGAGAAGGTGGGGAGAGAGTTGGTGGAAAATGTGGGAAAATTTAGTTGAGGGTATAATAGTCTAATAAAATATGTAAATAGTAAATTTTGTTCTTTATGCAAGACTTTAGAATTATGAGGGGATTTAGAAAATATAATTTTTTTCTTAGTCTTTTTAACAATGAAAGGAAGGTAAAGGGGGTTTATAGCCAAATTTCCCTAAAAAATATATATTTATTAACTATAGCGGAGCGAAGCAATTTGAAAGGCGAATTATAAATTTTATAGTTTAAACCGCGATTAACGATTAAAGCTGTATGAATTAATACGGATCGATACATTTTTAACGGATTTGATGGTATTTTGCACAATACCACTCTTAAGGTTTGTTTGAGAAGTGGGTTGACTTTTTAATTTTTTAACTTTTTGACTATTTTAACCTAGGGCTAAAAAGTTACGTTTGAGATAGATTTTTTGACTTTTTTAACTTTTGTAAAATAAAAAATAAAATGATTATGGGTTGAATATGATGTTTTTTTTTATCAAATTAAAAAATTTATTTTATTTTTAATTTTTTTTTTAAAAAAAAAAAACTAAAATAGTAAAAACAAATAGTAACCATAGATAAATTAAATTTTTGAAAAAATAAATAAAAACCCACAACTCCATCTAAAAAAATTGAAAAAAAAAAGCCACACACACAAAAAAAAAAAAAAGAAAAGAAAAGAAAAGAAAAAAGCCAGACATGCTAAACCACGCTTAGACCATCTAGTTTATTTTAAATTTGCCCATTTTCATCCAGGAAATGCTCTGCATAAATCCAGCTAGAAGAATTTCAGCTCTTGATGCGCTCGCTTATGCATATTTCAAGAATGATGATGGTGATGGTGGTGATGAAGAAGAAGAAGAAGAAGAAGAAGAAGAAAAAGAAGAAGAAGAATTTCAGCTCTTGATGCGCTCGCTCATGCATCTTTCTTTCATTCATTGTAAATTTTCTCCCCACTCGAAAGCTTTTGTTGCAACTGTAGGAGAGGGTTCAAGAAAGGAGTTGGAAAATTCGAAGATCTTCGAAGATCCTTGAAGAACAACTTCGAATTCTCTAGAATATGATGAGAGGCTTAGATTCTTCAATAATCTCAACTTAGGAACACAACAACAAAGGAGATTATGGAGATAAAAGATTGGGTGAAGAAGAAGGCAAAATGGCTAGAGAATAGAATAATAGCAAGGCTCTCCCATTGATCTCCCACTTTCACTCTCAAGGTTGACAATGGAGAAGGGAAATTAGTTCTTTCCCAAGAGTTAAAAATCTCCAAAATCAATCATTGTAAAGCTATGGCGATTATGATGAGG